CTTCAGCTCAGGTCATGATCCCAGGGTCCTGGGATCGAGCCCCGCATCGGGCTCCCTGCTCCGTGGGAAGTCTGCTTCTCCCTCTCCCACTCCCCCTGCTCTCACTATCTCTCTCTCTGTCAAATAAAATATTTTTAAAAAGTTAAAAAAAAAAAAAAGAAAAGAAACACTTGGTGTTTTCTGTGTCATTTTGCCTGCCTGTCTACTGTAGAGCGAGTAAGCTAGACACATTTGTGGTCCATGATGTTTCTCTTTGGATGATGCGTCCACTTGTGGGTTCGTTATTTGAGCTGCCGGCAGTTGAGGAGATTAGGTACATACACATGCTAACCTGGCAGAAGTAGTCACTACCATTTCATTCGTTTATTCAGCAGATACTATCTAGGTGACAGTTCAGCGGCTCCAAGTATCATTACAATGAGTAGACTCAGTAACCTGACCATTTTCCCATTTAAATTTTTGAATGGGTAGTACACGATGTACATGGCAAAAAATTGAAATAGTGCAAAAAAGTGTACTTTTATATATACGTTTTATATATAAATAAACTTATCCTTTATGTATAATTATGTTAATTGTATATAATACATAAATAATATATATTTATATATATATTTTACATATATATAAAATGACTCCCTTCCATCTCCAACTCTCAGTCTCCCAGTTCTCCTTCCTCAGAGGTAGCCAGCTATCATTTTCTTGTTTTCTCTTCCCAAGAGATTCTATGCATTCATAAATATAAATGGGTGGACAGACAGATCGATCCATTGATCAATCAGTTGATAAGCAGACCAACATCCCTTCCTTAAAAAAAAACCACATACTGTTCTATACCTTGTTTCTTTTTACTTAAAATTTTTATCTTAGTGATTTTTTTTCCTACAAGAAACCCACTTTTTCTTTTAAAATTTTTATTTAAATTCTAGTTATTTAACATACAGTGCAGTTAGTGATTGTTGTTTAACAGTATCCCATAGACAAGAATTTTGATGAGATGGCATTTGCCGTACGTAACAGGATTTGATGTGTTTTTTAAAAACAAATAAGAGGGGTGCCTGGGTGGCTCAGTTGTTAAACGTCTGCCTTCAGCTCAGGTCATGATCCCGGGGTCCTGGGATCGAGCCCCGCTTCGGGCTCCCTGCTCAGTGGGAAGTCTGCTTCTCCCTCTCCCACTCCCCCTGCTTGTGTTCCCTCTCTCGCTGTCTCTCTCTCTCTGTCAAATAAATAAATAAAATCTTTTAAAAAAACAAAAAAAAACCCCCAAAAAACAAATAAGATTGTGGGGCGCCTGGGTGGCTCAGTTGGTTGAGCAATTGAGCGTCTGCCTTCAGCTCGAGTTGTGGTCCCAGGGTCCTGGGATTGAGACCTGCATCGGCTCCCTTCTCAGTGGGGAGTCTGCTTCTCCTGTTCCCTCTGCCTCCCCCCTCGTGCTCTTTTTCTCTCTTGTTCTCTCTCTCAAGTAAATAAATAAAAATCTTTTTAAATAAATAAATAAAAACAAATAAGATTGTCTCCATAAAGGCTTAACGTGTTATTTAAACTTCATTTTTTAAGTTAAGAGTTAACTTTTGAAATCAAGTAAATTCCATGTATGTTAGAAGCAATCTATAAGTTGCATTTAAAAGCAGATACATATTTTTCTTCCTGATGCTACTCACTTTTGTTATATAATAGTTTTTAGAACACATACATAATAATCAGTTTACCTTCTCTTTTATGGGAGAGAAACTAAAAAGAATACATTGTTTATAATTATGTAATGTAGTTACTTAGTTGCATCATACCAAAAATTTCCTTCAAAGAATTGTTTAATATTCCTGTCATACATAAAACCTAGTTCATTAATGTTTGGAATGGTTATGCAGGTGCCCTTTAGCTGAGCGGTGATTGCTCTTTACCAAATAATTTTGCATGGTTGATTCATTGTTCCTGATTTTGTCTAACATTTCTTTTTTGAAACATACTATTTTGAAATAAAGCATAGAATGTAATGGCAAAATCCATCTTGTAAAACAAAATATCCATTGCTGAGGCATCTCAAGGATTACTGTCTTCTCATAATGCTTTATTTAGAAATAGTGTGTAGTTTTGCATAAGAAGGTGTTAGAA